GGTTCCCAGCCTTACAGGTGGGTAAGGAAGGTCACTTCCTGATAGGTCCAGGAAGCTTAGGATATTTTGGGAACCTCAGGAAGAGAGGAATTCACCCAAATCTATAGTTCTTATAGGAAAAATATGGTCGTGCTTGGCTTGACTTTTAAGCTTCAAGAGGCTTTTAAAAGTCTCATCTGAGATTCCTCATGAAAAATTCCAGCAAAACAAACTCAAAAAGGCCTAAGTGGTCATTCTTGCTGCAATTATGTAAATCACCAGGCCAAATATAATGAGACCAGACTTATTTTTTAAACAAGAATTTTAAAAGGAGGTGACTGGAAAGAGAAAATTATAGTGTACCCTTGTGGGTTATTAAATTCTAGTCCTGTTCTTTCTGTTCTTTTTTTTTTTTAAGCTTTCTGTTGCCAACCTGTATACTGGACTGGATCCTGCCATCTTATACATTTTGTCAATTCTCGTTTCCTCTGATAGCTGACTACAAGTCTCCACACTAACATTTCTAATTTTTCCCCACCTTCCTCACTTGGTATCACTGAGAACTAAAACTATCCTTTTCCTAAAGCCCAAGAAGTTGAAGCTGTACCACCAGGTATAAACTGGAAATCACCACAACTTTTCATATGTGGGTAACTTCATGAGAATCTCTTCTTTCCTTGAGCAAGAAGAGGGACTGACAAAGATTGTCTTCTTAACCAAACTTTAGTCAGGTTTCTCTGAGCCCTTTTCTTGTCTAGGCCCTTCCTTGTAATACCTGCATAGCCCAGTTTCAGCAAAAATCTTGCTAAGTTAGTTAACTGAAAATCTCTTACCCTTGATATCTGATCACCCTTGATATTTGGTCAAATTGCTCACCCCCCACCAGGCAATATGTGATCACCCTGGCTTGTCTTCAGCAAGAATACTGTTAAGGTGCTATAACCAGAATCCCCCTATGGTTCCTCTTAGTTATTGTATATCCACTGGCCTTCATCCTGCTCCTTGGTAATAAATCCCTGCTTGTTATTGCTGTATTTGGAATGGATCTCAGTTCTATACTGAGGTCTATTTTCCTTTATTGTAATAGTTTCTGAATAAAATCTGTTTTTACTGCTTTAATCACTGCTACTTCTGGTTTTCTTAGACAATATCGAAAGTATACAGTATGGAAGAGCAATTACTGTCATGTGTTTACACTGACAGATATTTCAACTTACAGTTGAATAAATCCAGTGATGTACAAAGTTTGAGTTGGTGCTTTGTGTACATACAGAATGTCCAGGAGGGAGATTACTTGGTAACTTTTTGTTCTATTTATTATTGAAAACCTAGTATATGGAAAAAGATACAATGAGATCTGTTTGTGAAAAGGAAGGCAAGGTATTGCTATGCAAATTAAAAAGGTGGCCTCTAAGTGGAAATTTATATTGTGTAATTGCAAATAATAGTTGGTAGTCAAAAATACTCCACTAGGTTTTGATTTATTATTGAAGGAAATACTGCTAATTATTAGTACTATCAAACTATAGCCTTTAAGGATGTATGTATCTTTTTGGCATACTATGTGAGGAATTGGGCTGTAAGTATAATCTGACTATTGAGGTAAAAAGAGCCTCATATTAGTTTTTAAAATGAGAGACAATGAAAATATTCCTTCATAATGCTGATAATTCGAGTAAAGACCATTTTGAGTAACTTAATTGAACAACATGTCACAGCAGTATATTAATTCAATACGTTGAATTGCTTGAATCTTCACTTCAGTCTCAAAATATTCCATTTAAAAAATCTGCAGATGACAGATTAGAGTTTCTTTTTAAAAAATGGAATGGGGGCCAGGTGCAGTGGCTCATGCCTGTAATCTCAGCACTTTGGGAGACCAAGGTGGGCAGGTCACAAGGTCAAGAGATCAAGACCATCCTGGCCAACAAGGTGAAACCCTGTCTCTACTAAAAATAGAAAAATTAGCTGGGCTTGGTGACATGCGCCTGTAGTCCCAGCTACTTGGGAGGCTGAGTTAGGAGAATTGTTTGAATCCAGGATGTGGAGGTTACAGTGAGCTGTGATCACGCCACTGCACTCCAGCCTGGCAACAGAGCGAGACTCTGTCTCAAAACAAAACAAACAAAAAGAAACAACAACAACAAAAAAAACTGAACAGTGGTATAAATGGTCTAAACTTAAATGTTTTCCCACACCTTTCTTTTATAATTTCTTTACTTTTAGAAACATATGATTTATTGTCTCATATGTTTAAAAATTCTGTCAGTAGAAATGTAATGTTACGTACATAATGCTTCATGAGAAAATGAGGAAATAATACTTTTTAGAGCTAAAAGCAGTTAAAGAATGATTAGGAAATCTATTTACATTGTCTTCCAAGTTGAAACGGTCAATCTTTCTGCATTCATTTGTGATGTCTGTCAATTTAATGCCTGATAGAGTTCTGAAACATCTTTAGTGATGATTCTTTATAATTTTTAGGTTCCCAATAGTCTAAATATCCAGTTGTCCCTGACAAAGCCACTGAATGTTTATTGTCATTTTATAATCATTAATGGGGAATCAAGAGTTTATAGTTTGGTCACAGTAATCACAATTGAAACTAGTTGGATGTGGAACTCAAGGACTTGTGGCTTGGATTCTTTGTCATTGGGTCAGGTGTTGACAATTTGATAAGAGTACAAACAAAATACAGTCTCTTTCACTAATAAGGAATAATAATATATATTTTATTTAAAATAAATTATTTTTAAAAAATTATTATTGTGGTCCATGGATGCTGAAATAATATTTGTCACCTTTGTAAAAAAAAAAAAAAGTTGTGTTGGCTAGGTGTGGTGGATCACACCTGTAATCCCAGCACTTTACGGGGCTGAGGAAGGCAGATCACCTGAGGTCAGGAGTTCGAGACCAGTCTGGCCAACATGGTGAGACTTTGTCTCTACTAAAAATAGAAAAAAAATTAGCTGGGCATGGTGGTGGATACCTGTAATCCCAGCTAATTTGGAGACTGAGGCACGAGAATCACTTGAACCTGGGAGACGGAGGTTGCAGTGAGCCAAGACCATGCCATTGCACTCCATCCTAGGCAACCAGAACAAAACTCTGGCTCAAAAAAAAAAAAAAAAAAAAAAAAAAAAAAAAAAGATAGTGTTCGTTGATCACTTACTATGAGGCAAACATTCTAAGTGTAATGAACTCATGTTAACGGTGAAGGAGCCAGTGGTTTACAGGCTGATGCATAGAGAAAATAACTTATCCAAACTTACCTAGCTGTTAATTTACAAAATTAGGATTTGAACAGTGTCAGTCTGGTAGTAAAGTCTGCTCTTCACCACCATCTGGCAGAGATAAATAGTACTTGTAGGAGTTTCTGAGAGGTCAATTCAAGTATAAGTATTTCATATTTTGAGGTTTCCTAAAGTATCTCTCTACTTCTTTAATATACAAGTTGCCCACATTATTCTCCTTCTCATTATTACTACAACCAGTGAGTATCTTGATTAGAATCTTTCTGGGAGAGAAGCAGTTACTAAGAAGGGAATGCTTTATAGACAGAGAGAGAAAGGATCATTTTTATGGTCACAGGTTATTTTCTTAGTCTTGGCTAAATTTTTTTGGGTGGGGCACTATTGTGGTCCAAAGACAATTTAGGTGACTCATAAGCTATCAGCTCTAATCCCCCAGATGTCTCAAAATTGCATGCTTATAAGAGTATCTCAGTGAGTGAATAGCAGTATTTCCTCTCATGAAAAATATACACATATCATAAATACTTTTAAAAATGAAAGTATCTCAGTGAGTGAATAGCGGTATCTCCTTGCATGGAAGATTTACACATATCATAAATACTTTTAAAAGTTTGAGTTTAATATAAATTCAAAAATATAAATCAGTTTTCCTTTAAATATACTAAAAACCTTTTTATGAATAGCAATTTATTTTAAAGCATTTATTTTGTACAGCTTTTTTACTAAATTTATCTTATTACTATTTGTTAAAAATAAATGGAAATTCAAGTTTATAGTCTCGCTCTAAATCATTTTCTGAAAATCACATTTCAGAATGTAACGGTTTTGGCTTGTTTTAAATATACCCTCTTGCTGGCTGTTGTGTGTTGGAGTAGAGCTTTCTTTTTTAAATCTAGTAGCGCCCTCTAGAGCAAAAGGTAAAATACAATTTGATAAGAAAGGAGTAGTTTCACAAATTCAAATATTCTTAAAATTTCCTATCCTGTGTGATAGTTTGTTACTTAGAAGTACCAAAGAGCTAGCCAGGCATGGTGGCTCTTGCCTGTAATTCCAGCATTTTGGGAGACAGAGGTGGGTGGATCACTTGAAGTCAGAAGTTCTAGACCAGCCTGGCCAACATTGCAAAACTCTGTCTTTACTAAAAATACAAAAATTAGCCGGGCATGGTGGCTTATGCCTGTAATGCCAGCTACGTGGTGGAGGGGCTGAGATAGAAGAATTTATTGAACCTGGGAGACAGAGGTTGCAGTGAGCCAAGATTACGCCACTGCAGCACTCTAGCCTGGGTGATAGAGTGAAATTCCCTCTCAAAATAAAAAAGAAAAGTAGCAAACAGCTGAACCTAAATGTTTTTTTGCTCAAATATATATATATTCTTTTCAAGGATGCCTTTTAGGTAAGTTCTTCTTAGCTAAGATTAAAGATTAGTATATCTTTTTCTTACCTCCTTGTGAATGTAATGGTACATAATTTGATTTTTAAATGGATATTTAAATAAAATTACCCAAAAGTATTGAATTTCTTGTTGACCAATATAACATGCCAAAATTTATTGCATGTCCATTTTGTATGTGATAGTGTGTTCGTTTTGAGGATTACAAAATAAATAGAGAATAAATCACACCCCCAGTACCTATGCTGTTATTTCCACTTGTTTTTTGTAATAGAACATGACATGTATTGGGTCTGGTAGTGGTCGTGACTAAAAAGTTATCTTGATTAAATTAATTAATAATATTATTGATACATATTCATTTTTTATTACAGAAGAAAATACTCAGGAAATATCCCAGATGAAGAAAAGTTTGGCAGAAAAAGTTTCTCTCTATAGAGGTGACATCACATTGCTAGAGGTAGATGCTATAGTCAATGCGGGTGAGTAGTTGACTTTTCTATGATGTGTTTGTTATGTGACTATTATTTCAAAATATTTTTAATAAATAAAAATGTAAGTATTTTAGAAAAAAACCCTTTCTGATGTAGAAATGTCTAATATATTTCTCTTCTTGATTAAAAACATTGGAGATTTTTTTTTTTAATGTTCTTCAATTAATGTGCAATCTACAGCACCCTCTACAGTGAAAAGCACTAGGCTGAGATTAGGGTACTGGACCACTGGATAAGTGACAGATTGTTGCAGAAAGTTATTCAGACAGAACTTTAGCAAGTATGTTATTGTTAGTTTCATAGCTCAAATTAATAGTTGGCCAACATAAATACAAGTTCATCAAACTTTTTTCTTTTGAGTAGGTTGTCAGACAATAATTGAACTGTATAAGACAAAAGTGAAAATATAAAGAAATGATTTGAGTGATTTCAAAACTTAAGTTGTTTGGGTTCAGGTTTTCATTTGCATCATGAAATGCTTAATTTTAACCAGCATATTCTAATTATTTTAATAAGTAATTGTCTAGTTAATTTTTTTATTTCAACATTGGGAAAAATATAATAGGTGTTATAGTTTATTATGTGGTTATATATCAAAAAGATACAGTAGCTGTGATTCTATAAAAAATATTGTAAATGAGAGGATATTTAATGGTTTTAATTTGTCTTTTGTAAAGTTAGGCTGTTTGAAGGTTGAAAGTGTCAAAAACAAATCTGGACTTGGGTAAGGAGAGTCTTTATCTAAACAGACTGTTACAATACAGGGAGGAGGATGATTGCAATAGGGGGAGGCAGAATATTGCAGCAGGATAACTGCTTCAACTATGAGCTATAAGTGTCCCAAGGGTTAAGCAGAAAAGGGCTTTTCTTTTATATTAAGGAGTAAACAAGGCTACAAAGAATTCGGGCTGAGGAATTGTATGAGAGGGTGGCTTAATGAAACAGTTATCAGGGAATGTTTTTCCCTGAGGTCAGCTGGTCCTGGGAAAGGCTGTTAAGGAGAGGTTGCTTACCTTCCATTGCTCCAGGCTGGACCAAAGTTTAGGGGTTTCCAGGAAGGAGAGGAGCCTGACTAAAGTTTGGTCGGGTTGTTTGTGGGCATTGACCAACCAGAATGGTAAATGGGGACAAACAGTTTGGCGAATCATGTATGAGACAGAGAATGGGAATTTGGAAGGTCTATGTCTGGCCTTGTCATGGGCTGCAAAGTGGTCATCTGTCAGTTTTATCTAGCAAGTCCTTTTCCACAACACAAAAGGGTGGGAGTAATTTCTTGACTGTGGCTTTTTCCAAGAGTACAAAGTTCATGTGAAGTTCACTGTTATCTCCAGGTTCCCTGTGGTGATAATAAATTCACACAAGATAGTAGGAAAATGCTTTGGCAGCTGAACAGAAGGGTCTTATGGAGAACTGAAACATTGTGCGAGGATATTGTACAGTTCTGGCAATTTAGCAGAAAGTTCAGAATACTGGTCAGCTCGTCGTTCCCTCACAATTGGGTATCAGTTACAGCTGTGTGCGGTGGCTCACGCCTCTAATCCCAGCACTTTGGGAAACCGAAGTGGGTAGATAACTTGAAGTCAGGAGCTCAAGACAAGCCTGTGGTGAATCCCATCTCTACCACAAAATATAAAAATTAGCAGGGTATGTTGTTGGCAAGCGCTTTTAGTCCCAACTATTTGGGAGGCTGAGGCAGAAGAATCACCTGAACCTGGGAGGCAGAGGTTGTAGTGAGCTGAGATCATACCATTGCACTCCAGCCTAAGTGACAATTGAGATCTTGTCTCAAAAAAAAAATAAACAAATAAATAAAAAAGAGGTGGATGTCAGTTGCTTTGTACCAGCTGCTTTGCCATAATCAAGGCTCAGTTTTCACCTTCTCTTCTGATGCTTCTACACTTCCTTTCTCCTCTGCTACTTCTGCTTCCTGTCTAAAATGTAAAACTCTTCTTGAAAGAGGAGGCTGTGTCATTTAATCACCACCCAATATGACTCACTCCATCCTCAGGTTACCTCATAGGGTACAGGTCTCTGTTATATGTGATATCTGTGGATTGTTCATTTGTGGCCCTGGGTATCAAAATGCTTTCTTCTGTCCTGTGGGGCCTCTGGGTAACACAGGCCCTTGGAAAGGGTCTCAGGAAGTCCGCTCCAGTAGTTTTAACAAGATATCACTCTAGCTAGTAAGTTAATGTATATGTCCTAAATTCTATAAATATATGAGCTTTAATTTTTAAAAATTTAAAAGATCATATCTATCTACATATAAATGTAAAAGATATATGCACACATATGATCTTTTATATATACACACATATATGTATATACACATGATCTTAGTTTTGTCCTGAGGAAGTACAACTGATGATATCTACTTCATTTTAAAATACTTGAAGATCACTCTCACGAGTTTTCTTCTTCCTGTTATGAAGATAACATTGAATTTGCTGTGTTAGCACACACTTAATAACAGTAATAATGGTCTTTTTTTGGGTTTTGCTGTCTTCCCATGGGAGCCACACAATAGTGCCATTTTCTCTTTTTGTGTCCACTCCCAAAGCAATGTCTTCTTCTAAAAAATACTTAATATTGTATATTTGTTAAATTGAATTATTTAATATATGTAATTGTATTTGTAGCATCTCTGACTAATAGGACATTCGGCATTGGAGACTTGACACAGTGAACCATCTGGCTCTGGTTTTGTTATTTATCTGATCAATCAATAAAAATATTTTTAGAGTAATTATTGAAATAACGTAAAGTAGTGCAAAGCAGAATATCATTAACTACCTCATCACTATTTTGTTTTTGAAATATTATTATCTTGCTCTTGCCTAAATGTATAATTTTTCATAGCTGCTACATAATGTATAAGGGTATGGTAAGTTTATATGAAGACAGGAAGCAACTTTTGCTTACTCCCAAAAATGATGTGGTAATTTTAGCTCACCTCTCTGGCTGTGATGATTGTAGTTTGGCTGTGTTTTACATCTCACAAGGATGGTCTCATCAGGAATGGAAAAGGGATGCCAAGTGAATGTATGCTGTAATGGCTTTATTTACAGCTTTCTACTCTGCAGCTTGTTTGCCTGGTATGGAAGGAGCAGAACAGCTGTTAACCTTTCAGGTGAACAAGGTAACATGGCAGAAGACTAGAGAGCTACCTCTACTAAGAAAGGAGTGAAAAAAAAGTATCCCTAGTCATTATGCCAAAGCAGCCCAGTCATCACCTCCTATTAGACTTTGGACGTTCTCTTTTCATGACCAGATTATTACATTGGAACACTTGGTCTTAGTTGCTATGAATGAAATGATTCGGTATTTTAAATTTCTTTCTAATAAAGTGTTTCTTTTGAATTGCCTTAACTTCTTTAAATGTGACCCAGGATGGACTTCTTGTGTATTACATGTTTCTCTCTAGGAAATTATGCATATTTAGTATGTTTTAATAAAACAGATTTTGCTGGCATTATAGAACACAGGGTGGTAGCACAAGTTTAGAGTTAGGGAGACCTGGGCTCAAATTCAGGTTATTATAACCAAGGCTGTTTTTTGTTTAAACTTTTTATTTGGAAATAATTATAGAAAAGACAAAAATAATGCAGAGTCTTATGAACCCTGTGTAAACTTTTCCCAGTGGTGACTTTGTATATAGCTATGGTACAATATCAAAAGCAGATTTTAACAAATAATTTCAACATTTATTTTAGATTCAGAGAGTACCTGTATACTTGTTACATGGGTGTATTGCATAATGCCAAAGTTTGGGGTATGATTGATCCTGTCACTCAGGTAGTGAGCATAGTACCCATTAGTTAGTTTTTCAACTCTCTTGCCTTCTTTTCCTTCCCCCTTAGTAGTCCCCAGTGTGTATGGTTGCCATCTTTATGTTCATGTTTACCCAGTGTCAAAAACCGAAAGTTGATATTGGTACATTACTGTTATGTAGACTACAGACTTTATTCAGTTTTAACCATTTTTAAACTTGCATTCATGTGAATGTGTGTATATTTGTGTGAAGTTTTATTTCATGTATAGATTCATGTGACCACCACCACAATCTAGATACAGAACTATTCCATTATCATAAAACACTCCCTCATGCTGCCACCTTTGTGTTTATATCCACCTATCTGCCTCCTTTCCTGTTTTTCATCTCTATGGTTTTGTCATTTTTAGAATGGTATGTAATTCTAAAAATACATAATCAATAATGCTGCAGTGAACATGCCGTACAGATAGCCCTTTGACATACTGATTTAAGTTCCTTTGGATACCTATAAGTAGAATCAATAGATCATGTGGAAGTTCTATTTTTAGCTTGTTGCAGAACCTCCATAACGGCTCTACTAATTTATATTCCCAACAGTGTGCAGGAGTTCTCTTCTCTGCATCTTTACCAACACTTGTTATCTTTGAACTTGACAAAAGCCATTCCAACAGATGTGAAATGGTATTTCATTCTGGTTTCCATTTGTGCTTCCCTGATGATTAGTGGTGCTGAGCATTTTTTTTCATGTACGTATTGGTCATTTGTATGTCTTTTTCTGAGAAATGGCTGTCCCATTTGTCTGTTTTTGCTTTCATTGCCACAGAAATTGAACTTACAGTAGCGAATATGGTTACCAGAGGCTGGAAGGGGATTAAAGGAAGGGAATGGGGAGTTGTTGATCAAAAGTTACAAAGTTTCAGATAGACAGGAGGAACAGGTTTTGAGGTTTATCTCATAGCAGGGTGACTGTAATAAATAATACTGTATTTTATATTTCAAAATAATTAAGGAAGTAAATTTCAAATGCTTCACCATAAAAAATGATAGATAAGTGAAGTGATGGATGTGTTAATCAGCTTGGTTTAATCATGCACATTGCGTATACATATATCAAAACATCACATTGTATTCCATAAGTGTATACAATGATTTGTCAATCAAAATAATATTAATAATAATTAAAAAGGCATACAAATGGAATCATACAGCTTGT